TATAAAAATGGCATGGAAAAGACTCATAATTATGGAGCAAACTTGAATTTCCATTACCTCCGAAAAATGGATTATGGAGCTTCAATGGAGCACGAATTTCCTTGGAAAATTATGTAGAAACCTTCAATAATCCTTGGTAGAGGTATTAGGATCAAAGAAAATGCTTGAATTGAGGTGAAAAACAGAATTTGAATTTGACTCCAACCACACTTTTTCAATTGCTATAAGCTTGTTCTTGCACCAAAAATGACTAAAAAATGGTGGAATCAATTGTAGAAAGTATATGGAATTAATTTGCAATGAAAGAATGGACAAAAAATGGGAGAAAGAAAGAATTGAATTTTGAGATTTTCAATTATGGTGAATATGGAAAAGTGGTGAAGAATGTGAGAAAAATGATCATGGAAAAATTTTTTTTGCCTTGATCTTTGGTTTTTATATTCCTTGCATCATAAGGAAGGTTTAAGGCCCACAATAGTCCTTTGTTTCTAAGCCCAAGCCCAAGATCCATTATGTTACTTGAATTGTAAGAAATCTCGAAATAGGTCATGAAAAAAAGCTTCAAATGAAAAATGTAAAAGTGCCATTGTTCTTAAAATGAGATTTCCACTCAAAATAAGTACAAACATGGACTTATTTGATTAAATTTTGAAGAAATACCAAACTATGCCTTTTCACATGTTTTCACCAAAGTGACTTTTATCAAACTTCCACCATGAGCTAACCCATTAAAACCTTGAGGTTTAGTTGACCCAATGACGCCATTCGGAGCAACTTTCATGTTGGAAAAAAGTTCATCTGAGTTATGCAAAGTATTGAACTTGACCTGTAATTTTATGACCTGTAATCATAATTTCCCAACTCATTGATAACCTTCACTTGACCTCTAAGTCAGGGGATGAACCCCACACAAGCATCTGAACTTCTCAAGGGCATGAACCACTTCCTGGTGACTTTAGTGATTCCTCAAGCTCGAATAAAACCTCTAGATAGGCCTCTTTTGATGTATATCACACTTGATCCCCTACATAAATGCTAATGCAATGCTATGATAATGCTATGATGATGTTATGCTAATGCAAAAACAAGAAGGAAAAGGTTGGGAAAATTTTGGGGTGCAACAGTCACGGAATAAAGCGGGACAGAAAAATAATTGATACTGACGGGTTTAAAACAAATAACGAAACGAGACCGAAGAATGATTTCCGCGCTCCTAAGGAACTCTATAGATTTCGCGTGCTAACAAGGGTCTCAAGTATAGTTCTGTAGGAATTGCCGGCTTAAAAACTCAATCTTACACTCTCACGCTATTGACCAAGCCACACCTAATAACCCTAAGATTTTGCTCTCGCTCGCTCAGTAGTTAATAAACGTATTTTGAAAACTAACAAAGCCTAACTGAATCCTAAAGCGCTCTCGCTGTGTTTAAGTCTAGTGCTCAGTGTCTACTATTCGGTGATTACCTCAAACTCTCGCTCTATTGGACACACCTTAATGCATTTTTCACTCTTGTGACAAAACATTGTTAAGCGGCCTCTCGCTCTCACGACAAAGCAACCTAAATTAGAACTAGACACTAAAGCCAAATTATAAGACATGCATAATTAACACTGATAGTTTCTACAGAGTCCCGTCGAAACGACGGTCCTCAAACTACGGGCTCATACAAATTTAGCCTGACATATTAAATTCTAAGACTAACATGTTAACGTTGCTGGAAATTAAAACATACATGTCAGTTAATTCTAAGTGAAAATTCAGAATTAAGTTTTTGGGGTAAAATTTAGTTATATAGCATACACATGCAAATAGTAAAGCAATAAATAAATGCAAGAAGTAATAACCTTTAAATTGCAAGGAATATAAACTTAATCAAAACCTTTATTAACTTAAACTTTGATCCAAGTACATCAGCAACAGCAGAAAAACGGAATACAATAGTGTAACAATTGCTCAGTGTAAACAATTGTTACTGTGGAAAGTAAATATATAGTTCGGGTATAGAAATCGACAGCGCTTCCACGGGATTCTTGGATATGAAATGCAGGCCTCTGGAGTCCTATTTATAGAGGAATTTTGCCTCCAAGAACAGAGGTTTGAATTCAAATTCAAACCAAAGAAAACTGACAGAAACTGCCTCTGAAAACTGCTCCCGCTAGTAACGGCGATCGCCGTCTTCTAATGGCGAGTGCCATTTGCTTGAATTAGAATTCCCTCCTTTTATGAGCATGACGAGCGCCATTTGAATGAAGGGAGACACATGACAAGCGTCATTCAGCTAGTACGGGCCAAAACTTGTGATTTTCTTCACTTTTCCTTCATTCTTCAGCTTACTTTGATACTTTTCTTCTACATGACTAATATGACACCTGTCAAAGCAAAACAAAGAAAAACATAAGCAAATAACAGAGATAACGGTAAAGACTCGATAAAAAAATAAGTAACAATGTGTAAATTGAATCAAATTAAACGATACGAAATCGAGTCATCATTCCTCTATTCTTATGTCTACATTTCCTGTACTATATAAGGCTTTAAACAGGAAAGATTGAGTTGTTAGTGAGATGGAGGCTTGAGAGGGGGGTTGTTTGGAAGTGGGATATTGGCTTTGATCAAAATGGAGATAGAAGCAGCTTGAGGGTGAAACCTGTTGAGCTGATACAAGTCTTAGCCGATGTCTGCCCAATGATAGATGCGATGAACTCCTATGTTTGGGGTCTGGATTCTACTAAATATTTTTCTGTCTAAAGCTGTTATAATAATCTAGTACATACTACTACTCAGACTGTGATGGAATCGACACTAGAGCTAGCTTCAAAAATTTTGTGGAAAACTAGGATCCCATTGAAAATAAAAATGTTTGGTTGACGTTTTTTATTTGATAGACTACCTTCTCGGATGAATTTGGTGCACAGAGGGGTCATAAGCAACATCTATGAAATGGTTTGCATATTCTGTTTTTAGGTTGAAGAGGAGAGGGATCATTTGTTTTTCGCGTGTCCTAAAGTCAGATTGGTGTGGAGGAAGGTGGCATAATGGATAGGTATACCTTGGATAGAAGAGATTGAGTGTTGTGATCATGCTATGACTTGGTTGGTAGGTGTCGTAACTCTTGTTTGATTTGGTTGATATCTTGTTGAAGCATATGGGAACTAGGAACCTTTTTCATGCTATTACGAGTATGTATACTTTGGATAGAAGAGATTGAGTGTTGTGATCATGCTATGACTTGGTTGGTAGGTGTCATAACTCTTGTTTGATTTGGTTGGTATCTTGTTGAAGCATATGGGAACTAGGAACCTTTTTCATGCTATTACGAGTAGGTATACCTTGGATAGAAGAGATTGAGTGTTGTGATCATGCTATGACTTGGTTGGTAGGTGTCGTAACTCTTGTTTGATTTGGTTGGTATCTTGTTGAAGCATATGGGAACTAGAAACCTTTTTCATGCTATTACGAGTAGGTATACTTTGGATAGAAGAGATTGAGTGTTGTGATCATGCTATGACTTGGTTGGTAGGTGTCATAACTCTTGTTTGATTTGGTTGGTATCTTGATGAAACATATGGGAACTAGGAACCTTTTTCATGCTATTACGAGTAGGTATACCTTGGATAAAAGAGATTGAGTGTTGTGATTATGCTATGACTTGGTTGGTAGGTGTCGTAACTCTTGTTTGATTTGGTTGGTATCTTGTTGAAGCATATGGGAACTAGGAATCTTTTTCATGCTATTACGAGTAGATATACTTTGGATAGAAGAGATTGAGTGTTGTGATCATGCTATGACTTGGTTGGTAGGTGTCATAACTCTTGTTTGATTTGGTTGGTATCTTGTTGAAGCATATGGGAACTAGAAACCTTTTTCGTGCTATTACGAGTAGGTATACCTTGGATAGAAGAGATTGAGTGTTGTGATCATGCTATGACTTGGTTGGTAGGTGTCGTAACTCTTGTTTGATTTGGTTGGTATCTTGTTGAAGCATATGGGAACTAGGAACCTTTTTCATGCTATTACGAGTAGGTATACCTTAGATAGAAGAGATTGAGTGTTGTGATCATGCTATGACTTGGTTGGTAGGTGTCGTAACTCTTGTTCTATTTGGTTGGTATCTTGTTGAAGCATATCAGAACTAGGAACCTTTTTCATGCTATTACGAGTAGGTATACCTTGGATAGAAGAGATTGAGTGTTGTGATCATGCTATGACTTGGTTGGTAGGTGTCGTAACTCTTGTTTGATTTGGTTGGTATCTTGTTAGAAGCATATGGGAACTAGGAACCTTTTTCATGCTATTACGAGTGGTTTAAAAGTCCAATTGACTTTTTTTTTTGTAAGGATTTGCTTTAATTCGCTGGTGTTGTAAATCTGATGTAATACGTTTGATGGGTTGGAGTTCTCCAAGTATTCAGGTTAATATAATTTTGTTTATCAAAAAAATATATTTTTGAAACTCGAATGTATTCATGTGTATATTGGAAATGAATTACAATTTTTGTGCATGTGCAGGACAAGGCATGGTTTTGGTTTGGGAGGGTTCTGGCTGTGGCTAATCTTATTTATTTCTCCATCAATCTCTTTGGATTATTGATTCCAAGGTTCCTTTCAAGAGCTTTCAAGAGGTATTTCCAAGATAGGGAAGAGATTTACGCCAAGGCTGCTGAGGACAAACCACACGTACCTAAGAGGAAGACAACAAGTTTATGTCTTAAATTTGTTCAACATCTCTTGCTATGTTAAATAGCTTAGCACGTTTCTTTCCCTTGAAAACTAAGATGTGTTTATGGTATATATATACATAAAAGACAAATAGATAGCACTTTTATGTTTGTGAAACTTTAAGAGAGAAGCATATATTGATATTGTTAACTGTTACATTAATAACGATTTTCTTTTGCTTTGGATGCAGGTGCAAAACTATGGATATTAAACTTAAGCAACAATGGATATACAAAATTGATAGTGGACATTCTATCTCTACTTTCCAAACAACAAGAATAATTAGATTTCATTTTCACTATCATTTTCGCTATCATTCAGCATTGCTTCAATAAATGCAGCTTCTTCTACCTGCACAGAAGATAACACAAACAATGGAAATGTTAGTTAGTGTCAAACTCAGAAAAACATGATAACTCAGAATGAAATCACATACCACTAATGCATTAAAGAATGAAATCGCATACCACTAATGCATTAAACTCACTCTCCTCGTCTATGGCATCACTTACAGCATAGTCTTCGAGTATGTCCTGTTCACAAATGTAAGGGGCAGGCATAAAGGGGGAGGAAAAAAGGGAAGTGGATCATCCAATATACAAAATATAAGATTGAAATAAGAAAATCATGAACAATTGTAATGATTGCCTAGTTGCCTACTTACAGCATCAGCCATTTGAAACAGTCCATTCTCACCCTGCATAAAAAAAGGCCAAATTAATTATCATAATATATATTTTATTATTCTGAGAATTTTAGAAGTCTAAAGTTTATATTTTAATATATCTAAGATTTCAAAAATTTTAAAGAATAACACAATATATGATGATATATCATTCCAATTACATTTAATTTAACACTACATTCACAATGGTATTCACAGAATGGGGTGTTCAAGATTATATGGAATACTTTAAAGTTTGTACAAGTAGAAGCTTACCTTCACAACAACAAATTGAGGTGGCTTAGATTGTGTGTGAATTAAGTAGTTAGTACCTTCCTAAAAAAGGAAACAAAAGAAAGTTTAGTTAGCACTAGCACACAGTGAATTCGTTATTGCAATGTGCATATAGTGGATCTATAAATAAAACACAGGCAATCAAACAAATTATTGCAACACAATTTTGCTCCTTGCTAACTTGAAAACATTGGATGAAATTCTTTTACTAAAAACAAACCCTTTAAAACAAGACACAAATTCGTAAACATGTAAATGTCTAGATAAAGATGATAAAAGTACCAACTCAAAATATGTAACTTCTACAACATCACTTAGCCAGCCTTCTATGTCTTCATCACCCTCATCTGCAAAATGGTAATAACATCTTGTGTTATATTTGGAGCATAAAATTCAAATAGTGGTGAGGTACATTCTCACTCAAGTAAGCCACAATTATAGTGTGTTTATCATCATCACCTTAGAGATAATAGCTAGCTAAAGATTAACCTTTACAACGCAACATTCGACATTAGTACTAAAGAAAATGGGAAAGTAAAGAAAAACTTGCCTGTTTCAAAGTCAATTATATCTTGTTCTGTGTAGGTAAAACCCCCACGTGCAGTGTAGAAGTGTCTGATATGGAGAGACATATTTTGTAAAGATCAAACACAAAGTTAATGTCATGGGTGAGTTTCTAGATAAGAAGAATTTTGCAACATACCCGCTATAAACAAGATGCATGTGTATCTTGGCCAGCGCAAAAGCTGCAGCAGGTAGAATAGATTCAGTTTCCTCCTCACTGATCTAAAACATAGAAGGAAGTGGCATGAATTTGGGTAAGACTCACTAAACGGAAAGAGGAAAGATAATATGCATTTTCTGACAAGGTAAAACAAAATTTAGTATAAATGTGTTGTAAATATGTTATTTTTACTCATGCTAGTACTAATTTATATTCGTGCTTTTAGTTCATTAGTTAGACCCATTAGATTAGAATAGTCTTATATAAAGAGATTAGTGCTTGTAATTTTAACATATTTGAAATATATTATTCAGTTTTAAACATGGTATCACGAGCTCTTATCGAGAGAATTTCGCTTCCGCATAAAAAAAACCTATCCGCCTTAATTGTTGTTCCTTTTTCAAAACCCTAACCGCCTTAATTGAGGTTCTTTTTCAAAATCCTAGCCTCCTTAATTGCGACTCTTTTTTGGAAACCCTAGTCGCCGTCATTGCGGGTTTAAGTTCAAAAACACTAGTCACCGCAGGAATATTGTTCATATGTGGTGTTGTTCATCGCCGAAAACACTCTTCATAACTGAAAACATTGTTCATCTGCAACATTGTTCATCACAGAGACCTTGTTCACTTGTAACAAAATAAAAATAAATAAATAAACCTCTATTGAAGGTTGCAGGCCTCTTTACGACAAGTTTGCTGGTTCTTTCTATTCTATTGAGTTAGACACATTTGCATGACATCCATCAATATGTCAGAAGGAGAATTGATTCAACTCAACAAAGACGAAGTAGAGAGGCAGAGATCTCTCTTTAGTAAGTTAGAGAAACCAACAGGTACTTCTTTTTTGGTACATTCAGGTACGTTTCCGTTTTCACTTCCTCTTAGTAAGTCTCAATTTTCTTTTGAATTTAATGTCTCAGATAAATCCTTCAACCAATATTGGATATTGGATTCTAGAGCAACTGACCACATGACACCTTTATCCACACACCTTTCTACTTCTTCACCATGTCCTAGCAACAACAAAATAAGGTATTACTTTAACCACGGTCTTAATCCTTTCTGTCAAAAAGAAATTATTATTCATGAGTCTTCTTGTTTTAAAACCCCTAAACAAAATGGGATTGCTGAGAGAAAGAATGGACACTTTTTAGACCAAACACGTGTTTCATATTCCAAAATAAAGTTCCTAATAAATATTGGGGCGAGGATGTCTTAACTGCATCGTATCTCATTAATCGTTTACCCTCTACCGCCCTTGCCTCCAAAACTCCTATGGAATCTAACCCCTAAAATGTGTCTACTTAAAGTAATCTAACCCCTAAAATATTTGGGTGTACGTCGTTTGTCCATATACATAGTTATGGTAGAGGGAATCTTGACCCGAGAGCGTTAAAATGTGTCTTTATAGGATACTCTTCTACTCTAAAGGGTTACAAATATTATCATCCTCCATTTCATAAATACTGTCTCTCGAGATGTCACCTTCCATAAACAAGAAAGTTACTTCCTTCAAACTCATCTTTAAGGGGAGAATATAAGTAAGGAAGATGAGTCTTATCTACTTCCTGACCTTACTTTCGAACTAGAAGTTGAGACTGAAACTAGGGGTGACAATGTTGAGACTGAACTTGATTCTAAAAAAAAAATGAAAATGTTGAAAGTGATGTAAGATTTGAAAAGAATTTAGTATATACGAGAAAGAAGAACATTCCTAAATCTACTCATATCCAAGAATCCAATCCGACATTACATGAATAGGAAACACAACTCAACTCAATACTACCACCACACTACAAAGATTATATCTTCCAATTGTCCTTAGAAAAGATTATATCTCAACAAAAATACATTATTGATCTTCTATAAGAGACGGGCAAGACAGCATGTAAGCCTGCAAGTACACCAATTGATCCAAGTGTAAAGTTGGGGAAAGTAGAAGAAAATGATAAGGAAATGAAACAAAGATTAGTCGAAAAACTTATATACCTATCACATACTAGACCAAATGTCGCTTTTGTTGTAAGCTTAGTCAGCCAATTCATGCACCAACCAAAGGAGATTCATTTGCAAATTGCGCTCCGAATTGTGCAATATTTAAAAGGAACTCCAGGTAGAGGAATTTCGTTTGAACGAAATGGAAGAATGACTCTTCAAGAATATACTGATGTTTACTATGCATCAGTTGTCGATAGAAGATCAAATACAGGATATTGTACTTTCCTAGGTTGGAATCTTGTGACTCGGAAGAGTAAAAAACAAAGTGCTTCATTGGGAGAGGGATGAGAGTGAACATTGTGCGTAAGATTGAGAGAAACAACGTTAGGAATAGCAGTCTTCGAAACTTAAGAGTCGCAATTCATGAGTAATGAGAAGAATCTCTACCTCATCAAGATCCATAATTCCAAACTTGCTTTCAACCACTGATACAACAGGAACATAATCACCAGGTAATCCCTCAAGAATAACATCAATATGATGTGAAGTCGGAACAGGATCACCAATTGAAGCAAGTGCATTAATAGTAGTACGAATCTTGAGAAGATAATCTTGCACAGATGAGTATCCAACGTGATAGCACGTAATTCAACTAACAATTGACGCGATCTCGCACGAGTTTGCTTTTGGAAGTAATTGAACAACTTATCCCACAATTGATGAGAATGAGTATATCCTAAGACGCGAGAAAGAATTTCGCTCGATAGAGTGGATTCAAGACACGATAATAACAACTGATCTTTCTGAAGCCAAATCGAGTACGCAGGATTGATCATACCTGAGATGCGAGCATCATGATTGAGAAATTGAGGAGGACGCGCACAAATGACAAACTTAGTGAGGTTGTGCGCGTTGATCAATGGCTCCACTTGTTGGCGCCATAGATGAAAGTTCTTTTCATTGAGTTTGTGAGATTTTAAGTGTGAAATTGAGACGACGCAGATCGTCGTGAGAAGACGACACGACCGGTATTGAAGTGTTCGAGATATGAGCGGAAGACATCAACGACACCGATGAGGTAGACGTCATGGCCGGAGATCGAGTTAGCAAGTTGATACCATGCTATAGCGATACTATTCATAATTCTGTTGTAACTGATTTTTCTGCTTTTTCATTGATTAAAGTTTGTTACAACTGATTGCATTATATAGAAGCAATCATGTAACCTGCAGTAGCAGGTTACTTAGCCAAAGGATACTGACAGCTGTCAGTTAACTATACTAAGCTAGCTTATTTCTAATAAGATTTAGTGCTAAAGCAGAATTCAGAGCAGAGGCGTAAGGGATATGTGAACTACTTTGGCTGAAAATGATACTTGAAGGAAGATAAAGAGTGGTGAACTAATGAGACTTAATTGTGATAATAAATCTGCTATTAGCATAGCCCATAATCTAGTGCAGCATGATAAAACTAAACATATTGAAATTGCCAGACACTTCATCAAAGAAAAGTTAGATAGTTGTCTTATTGGCACTCCATATGTTTCTTCTCAAAACAACGTTACTGATTTTCTAACTAAGGAATTGAACGGCAATAACTTAGAAAAAATTATTTCCGAGATGGGAAAGATAGATATTCATTCACCAGCTTGAGGGGGAGTGTTGTAAATAAGTTATTTTTACTAATGCTAGTAGGTAATTTATATTCGGACTTTTAGTCTATTAGTTAAGCCCATTAAATTAGAATAGTGTTATATAAAGAGATTAGCGCTTGTAATTTTAACATACTCGAAATATATTATGTCAGTTTTAAACACATTTTTAAGTTAATCCCAAATTCCCCATAGAAAAGAGTTCCATCTTACACACTACAATTGACTACAATTGTTTCTAACATGGTCTTATTGGCACTCCATATGTTTCTTCTCAAAACAACGTTACTGATTTTCTAACTAAGGAATTGAACAGCAATAACTTAGAAAAAATTATTTCCGAGATGGGAAAGATAGATATTCATTCACCAGCTTGAGGGGGAGTGTTGTAAACAAGTTATTTTTACTAATGCTAGTAGGTAATTTATATTCGGACTTTTAGTCTATTAGTTAAGCCCATTAAATTAGAATAGTGTTATATAAAGAGATTAGCGCTTGTAATTTTAACATACTCGAAATATATTATGTCAGTTTTAAACACATTTTTAAGTTAATCCCAAATTCCCCATAGAAAAGAGTTCCATCTTACACACTACAATTGACTACAATTGTTTCTAACATGGTCTTTTATCTGTCAATACTATATAAACTAAATCAATAGTGAGTGATATGCAGAGAGTGCCAATAAATTTTAACCATCCCACAATAAACAGTGACATACTGCAATCTCAATTGCAAGGTTAAGCAGATATTTTAATATTAGTTTAGGGATGTAAAAAAGAAGGCCTTGTGATTGTATTGTATAAATGTGAGCAGAAGATGTCATCTGTCTATGCCAAAACAAAGTGCATATCACATTTTCAAATGCATTATTCAAATAGACTTGGCTAATAATCAAATGACTCAATTTAGGTCAAAATGTAAATCATTTAAATAATTGACGAACAAAACAAGTTAAACATCAGTTGGTATTTTAGCACACGTTTGATCTCTCTCGCCGTCAAACGTGCTTTGTTAGAGCCCTAAAGTGAATTCACTTAAGAGAAATCAGATCCATTCAAGAGAACATTGAGAAATACTAGATTCAAAACAAGTTTAGATGCAGCAATACCAACAAATAGGAACATCAAACGAATATTCATACAAATGGAAGCTTAGAATTAAGGGCAGAAACATACCGCGGACCATCCATGAACAGTGCTCTTTAATATATACACAGGCCTAAGGTAAAAAAAAAAAAATCCAAATCCATAGTCAAAAGATAATAAAAATGAAAGGGCAGAGACACTACTCAAGAAAGAAACCAATAGTTTTTGTATTGAGTAAACCACCCAATTGTTCCTTAACTCTGTAGGACTCTTACCATCAAATCAACTAAGTCCCTATATTTTACCCATTTCCTATCAATTTAGTCCTGAACTCTTAAAAGGACTAACATAAAATTCGACAGACTTTTTTTGAAATACTCATAATATCATCTAAGCAAGAGAAAATTTGAAGAACTTACGTATCAACCGGACAAACTAACATACATTCCTCCCTCTGAGAGCTTTTGAATACTCTCCGAATCAAACACTCCAATGGAAGATTATTAGCCGGATCAATCTGTTAACAACTTAATTAGAATCATCACTTTCCACATAAAAAGCAGAGGAAACTAAAGCAAGGCTTACTATAGTGACAAGTCTATTGGTGGAAGTGATAGAAACATTCCCATCATCGTCCACAGAGAAGCCGGTGGGAGGCTTCGGCAACATCAAATCATCATCATAATAGTTCTGTGACGAATCCAAACCGGTACTAACATTCTGGAAACCAGAATCCACGGAACGCTCCCTCAAAACTTCAAAATCCTTGTTGCAATTTTCTGAAGCGTCAAGAGCTGGATTTTTCTTCTTCGTCTTTTTCTTAGGAGTAGAAGAAGAACTTTTCTGGGGGTTACGAGATTTGGTTGCACCGCAGTGGATTCTAACCGTGGGATATGATTTAGGGTTTCTAAAGGAGATTGAGATTGAAGAAAAAGATGGTTTCACAACGACATTAGACTTGAACATGAATGGCGGTGTTGATGCTGAAGAAGAACAACTTAATGCCATCTTCTTCTATGTAATCTATCTGTCCACTGTTTTTGAGTTTTTTTTTATACCTTACTTATCTTTATCACTACTAGCGTCAAATCCGCTTTTTTAAGATGCACTTTTAAAATATATAATCAGTATTTTTTATTTATATTTATTTTTTATTTAATTTAAATTATTTATTAAAAAAATTGAATGAAATAGTAGAACAAACTATCATATGATTTTTAATAAAAGAGAAGTTAAGTTTAAAATAAAAATTAAAAAATTGTATAATTGGAATAAAAATATATTACACAAAAATTATTATTTTTTCTTTATATATATTATAGATTATAGATTATAGATATAAATTATGTTTTAAATTAATTGAATAAAAAATAATAGATATATTTAAGAAATTTAAATAATAAAAAATTATAACGGATAAAAAATAATTAAATATTTGTCTAAAAAAATAAAGAGTGGTTAGAGATTAAAGAGACAACTAGTAAAAAACTCGTGCGTTCACACGGGTATGAGAAAAAATATATGAGATATAGTATTTAGATATATCAATAGCTGAATTATATTCAAATGCACATTAAGAAATATATATATATATATATATATATATATATATATATATATATATATATATATATATATATATATATATATATATATATATATATATATATATATATATATATATATATATATATATATATATATATATATATATATATATATATATATATATATATATATATATATATATATATATGATGTTTTTTATGTTAAGCAAATTACTAACTTCTGGCTAACATAAAAACTATATTTGTAGCTCTAATTACCTGTTTCTTACGCTTCACAACCTCCTTACATCATCTAAAAGGATAAAGAGCATAAGTAACCATTGTCATTCTTACTCATAGTTGTCCGTCACTTATTATGTTTCTTTTTTTACTACTTCATTGTTCTTCTTTTTCATCAGTAGGCTTATTTTACATAAACTTCATATTTCAAAGAATATGACAGCCACAACACATAATATTGGGTTTGAACATACTTGAAAATATTCAACAAATAGACTTGAATGATGGTCTCTCATTCCATTATAAATGATCTTAGCTCCATATTTCATTAGAGTCAATTGCATGAAAAATAAATTGCACCTCTATTTATAATGGTTTGGTCTGCAGATATCCTTAATCTTGTATCTCTATTATTAGACTGGTCTTGACTTCAAGAGTAGGAAAAGCTTTCACAACACAATTGTGATCATGTATCTCAATAAAAGCTTTCAAAATCTATTTAAAAAAAGATTCATAAAGAGAAGAGAAAAATATTAAAAAGTAAAACATAGAAAAAAATTAAAAATATACTTGCTTCAAACATTAAACTAGAGATTACATTCTTTTCAAATCAGAAACTCTCACAAATCAACACTTTTTCCAAACCCTAAACAGATTCAAATATCCAGATGTTGGAAGATTAAAAAAATATTTGTAGTTAAAATAGAAAAGTGAAAACGAAAACGATGGCAAATAGATTCAAAAGAGAAAAGGGACAACTTTACATTATCAATGACTAAATCTTTGATGTAACACCATTTTCTACCCCACAATTATCATGGCAAAATTACACAGATAACAGAGTAAATTATTAAATTTCATAAAAAGCCACCTCAAAATGACGTACATTTTCCAAATCAACAAAATCGGTCAAGGCTCCGTAAACAACGGGTTTTCTCAAAATAATCAAATCGCACAAAGCAACGGAACTCAAAGGCATAAATCAAAGTTTCCTCATCAGGGAAAATAAGCAAAATAACTCAACAGTATATAGTTTAACTCAAAAGAACCCAACCCGATGTTACATATCAAAGTAAGACCCTCTAAGCTGACCAAAAGGCTAAAAACTCAAAAACTTCAAAAATACTCTTCGACGGCGTCCACGGCTAAACTCGGTCATCTGCACGTTACCCACGTGGAGGTAACATTCAAACAGACAGGGTAATTAAAACGATTCATAATAATCAATGTATAAAAATCAACATATAAATGACATCATAATCATATTCAACCTTCATATTCATCAATAGGCCTCGAAGGCCACAACATCATAATTTATACAAAAAGACTCATAAATGCAATGCAACAAGACTCAATGCATGTGGTACCAATCATCACAGTGTGATGGACACTAGGCCATCAACCCTCCATAGATCTCCATCAATAGGATCGATTCTACTAGAGAACCGGAGCACATTAAAACACTTCACACCCACACAATGGGATTGAAGTCAAAGTAATCGAGGTCCTGAACCGAAGTCCGGATGCACATGAATGCATGATGCACACGTCACAAATCATCCTCATAATAACATCACAAGTGCATCATCATTCATCATATTCATCATCATCAAACGTCATAGCTCATAATCATAATCATCATCATACGTCATGTCATCATAACTCATCATAATAATCTTCTTCATACATCATGTCATCATATCTTATCATAATAATCATCATACATCACATCATCATAATTCATCCTAATAATCATCATCATATAATCATGTACAAATCACATAGCGCTCACAGTCATACTCATATTAATTCATCATATTATCACATATTAATTCATAATTATACCCGCGATAATCCTCATACTATTGCCTATTAATCACATAAACCTCACTGTCATACTCATGTTAATTCATCGCAGAAATCACATAATCAAACATCAAGGCATCGGTGCACACGATCAACATTCGCGAAACTCTGCTACGTTCGCTGGCATGTTCGCTAGGCGAGTCTGGGGCGAGTTTCTTCGCTAGGCGAGTCTGGGAACAAAATTGTTCGCTAGGCGAACTGTGCGATAACAGCAAATTCTGCTACGCACCAGAACTGATTTCTACCTAAAAGGCTCTACGATCCACTTACCCAATGCCCCCAAAACATTCCTAAACCATCCCTAAGGTCCTACGGCGATAAAGGCACAAAACATACAGTTTATTAAGCCAATCCCAGATCATATTCAGTCCTAAATCACCATTTTTCCTTCAATTACACCCTAAGGCATTAGAGTTACTCACATTCAAATATTCCTATTCCTACAGGGTCAGTCATATAACAATTCAAGGTTTTGGCCACGAAGGCCTAAGGTTTCCCTTTCTCATATTATGCTCTAACTGTCAGGAATACTTACCACTATATCACAACATCAGAGTTCCCAAAACCAGATTTGGGCCACGAAGGCCAAAATCCTTTTTTCCCCAATTGAACCACATTTAGATTTACATATAATCGGTTTAGGCCACGAAGGCCAAAGATCATAATTTCTCATTTCTACCCTCAAAACCCTTAACTCTTAAATCAACCTTACTACATCGAAATCTACACATAGAAAATTATGAAAGGCAATACTCCCCATACCTTAGTCGATTCAAAGCCTTCACGATTATCTACGGGAATCTTCTGCCTCCAATCTTCTCCTCAGAGCTCTCTAGCCACAATACTTCTCACGGTTCACAAATGAATCCTAATCCCCTTCAGAATTCTATTTTATCAAACCTATTCTTGAGCCTCACAATTTGGGCTTTTCTCATAACACCCTCACTAACTCCTCTTAAATGTACAATTTGCCCTTCTTTCACTTATATTTATTTTAATTCATAATAATATTAATATCTTCATATTATATACTATTATTCAAAATAAATAATCCAATTATGCATAATTCTTCAAAATTTCACAAAACCATTGAAAATCACTGAAAAATGAATATTCTTAATTAAATAAATAAATTAAAATATTCCAATTAAATTTAGGGTGTTACAACTCTCCCCCACTTAAAAGAATTTTCGCCCTCGAAAATTACCTCAAGGAAACAGAGTCGGATACGACTCCCTCAACTGATCTCCATGCTCTCAAATCCAACTTTCCCCAGCTGGTCCTTCCCCCCATACCTTTACCAAGGCAATCTCTTTACCTCGAAGTTTCTTCTCGTTCATCAATCCGAACTAGCAATGCCTCAATAGTCAAATCATCTCTCACTTGTACATCACCCATCTGGATCACATGCGACGGATCTGGAATGTACTTCCTCAACTGCGACACATGAAACATGTCATGCAAATTCGCAAGCGACGGCGGTAAAACAGTCTAACATGCCACTTCTCCCACGCTTCCGCTGCGCCACTCTGATACAGACCAACAAAACACGGTGTGAGCTTTTGAAACTTCAAAGCTCAACCAACACCAGTTACCAGCGTAACTCTCAAAACACACGATCTCCCCCTTGAAATTCAAGTGCTTTTCTCCTCTTATCATGGTAACTCTTTTGACGACCCTGCAAAATATCCATCTTTTCTTGGATCATCTTGATCTTCTTAGTCATCTCTTGCATAATCTCAGGTCCGAGCACATCTCTCTCGCCTGACTCATACCAACACAAAGGAGTCCTACACCTCCTACCATACCAAGTCTCATACAGTGCCATTTTGATACTAGAATGGTAACTGTTATCGTAGGTAAACTCAACCAACGGCAAATAACTATCCCCCGATCCACCTTGACCCAACACACAAGCTCTCAACAAATCCTCTAAAGACTGGATAGTTCTCTCTGTCTGTTCATCCGTCCGCGAATGATAGGCAGAGTTCAACTTCAACATGGTACCCAAAGCGTCTGCAAACTCTCCCAAAATCTCGATGTAAATCTCAGATTTCCATCTAACACAATATTCGACGATATCTCATACAACTTTACAACTTCCTCTATATACATCTCAGCTAGCTTCAACATAGAATGATTATTCCTTATTAGTACAAAATGAGTTGATATAGTCAATCTATCAAAAATCACCTAAATTGAATCATATTCCTCTCACAGTCTTCGGGAAACCCGACACAAAATCCATGGAAATACTATCTCATTTCCACTCTAGAATATTCAACGGTTGCGTCAGATCCAACGGTCTCTGATGTTCAATCTTCGACCTCTGGCAAGTCTAACCAGCATATACAA